ATTAACAATTTGCTGTCAGAAGGAAAACTGCGGAAGGAAAGTGGGAAAGATTTTTCACGAAGGCTCAACATAATATAAGGAGGAAAAAATGAATGTAATTTCCGTTTACCCTGGTTATAATTCTGGTATTGCAAGAATTCTCTTTCTCTATTTACGCAATTACGTATTAGATTATTGTATTGTATGAAATCCTGTTATCACGAAGACAGAGTATCATAGAGCATAAACAATAAACATAGGAAAGGTTGTGTCTGATCATGAGTCATTAGAAGGTTTTAGCGTAGTGTGCTGCAACCTAGCGGACACATGGTGCCTTCGATTCGCGAAAAGTTACCTTCAGTACTCACAATCAGTTGCAGTTGAGCGATTTCGTTTATTGTCTCATCATTTACCTATTAATATTTATATTTCGTTCATTTATTTACCTATAATATTTTTTACGTGTCCAATTAGGGCATCATTAAAACAATTAATTTGGCCTCGTTAAGTGATACGTTCATCTTTGATACATTTTCTTCAAATGATCTAGAAAAGTTATTTTTTTGGAGCCGTAATAGTTTTCTCTGTTTTTATGAGAGATCGAGGATTTTTTATGTATTAATATTTCGGTACTTAAGTAATGGATCATTATTTTTCCTATGGATCTTGGATTTTTTTTCGGGGGGTGGGGGAGGAAGCACAATTTTAGATGTTTAAAATACTCAGTTAATAGGTAGTAAATTAAATCTGGGACTCATTAAAATTGCGCTCACCGCTGAGCGCTTCTCTAATACCCACGTATTAGAGCTTTCCCGCTTGTTTTTTTTTTGTTTTTTGTTTTTTTTTTAACAGAAGTATTTGATTAATATATTTACGGGGTGGAACTACAATTGGACAGAATTGTAGCCGGAGGCCTATGTTTACAGACCAAATTTTCAAAGCCTACTATTATTTTTACATGTTAGTTCCCCCTTTTGAATTCCCCTTCAATACTATTTTTAACTATTAGCTTCTCGAAGCTCCGCAATCTTTTTGGGTTGTCAACCTGGTTTATGTAATCTTCATTTTTTTTCTAATGCGAGGACATCGGGACCACAGCTATACGCTATTCTTTCGAATTTTACGATTCTTTATCAGAAGCCGTTCAACTATTACGTAAGGCATTTTAGCCGAATTTTAACCCTCCCCCCCACCCATCCACCTCCTTTTGAATTACTTAGAGGTGGCTTGGCACTCTACTCAAATTTTCAAAAAATTAAACCGAAATTCTGATAAATAGATGGAAAAAAATTATTTTTGTTGGAAAATGTAATTTTTATTCAGATCGGGCTTGAGTCTTTCCTCCCCCTAAGACGTAAATACTTACGTAAAGACGTAAATACTTTCCTCTTACCGCATTCTGTCTTTCAAAGCGTTACACAACCAATGATTCAACAACAAACAATAACAGTCCTTGACACACTACTTCCAGTATTGTCCGATTCTCAGCCTTTCGTCCTAGAAATAGGTATTTTTCTAATCCTCTCATTATTCAAAACCGTAGCTCATTAGCATAACTTATCCAGTCGTGCAAGGCTTAAATTATGAAAATTCATTCCCCTCGAGATCTGAGGGAACCCGCGTGCTCTTCCTCATGCGTGAGATAATGGGCCTGTTACAAGGTGCGGGGATTTGCGAATTGATAACTGATTCCAATGGCAAATTTCACGAAAAGAGCCATGGCGTAGCTAAAAAAGCTTTAAATGACCTCTCAAACTCAAAAAAAGCTGTTTTTGGAACCGACCCATTCAAAACGGTCACTTTTACGCCGCACAGTGGATCGAGTCAATTAGAGAGGTTGGACATGAAATTTCTGACTAAAACTGCAAATTTTGAAATTTATTTCGCCACATTTTGAATTCCAAGGGGTGCTTGTAGCAGAAAATTTCACGAGGAAATCAATGGAAGCACTTTTAGAACCTCAAAATTTTGTGTAAACGGAGTTATAAGCTCTTAAAGTTTCCAAATTTTGTCCGACCTCTCCTATTGCCTCGATCCACTGTGCGCCGGAACGGATCCGGTACACTCGCTACGTCACATTTCATGATAAACCTGGTCTTTTCATCACTTACAATATATTTTCCCATAAGGAATTGGCAGCCGCTTTTCAAATGCAAATATCGAGTCAATCTATGATTTTTGATCAAAGTGGAACTCAGAAATGGATTCCTTGGACGTTTAAATGGTTGAAACTCGGCCTTCATTGGATAAATAAGAACCGACGGGATAAACCCTATTTTTAAGGAAAGCACTAGTCAGCGGGTCATTATAGTGATAACAGAAGATAAGGTTAGCTCAATATTTAATTTGCAACAGCCATTTTCATGAGTTTTTATTTTTTTGTCACTATTTGAATAAGGTAAGTTTTTTTTTTGTAAATCAATTTTTTAGTAACTTAGGATTATGTTAAAAGCCGTACCAGTATACATATTGACATCGATTGACTCGATATTTGCATTTGAAAAGCGGCTGCCAATTCCTCAAGGGAAAATACATTGTAAGTGATGACAAGACCAGGTTTGTCATGAAATGTGACGTAGCGAGTATACCGGATCCGTTCCCGCGTAAAAGTGACCGCTTCAAAGGTCCGAATTTTGAGGCGTTTTTAAGTTGATTTTTTGGGGGTTTCCGTAAATCAAATTCGCACGGATCAAAAAAAAAAACAACAAAAAAATTGTCGACAAGAAACGACGTTTTCAGTCAAAATAATATCTCAAGAAAGTGTTTTTCAGGGTATACCGTATCATCCACATACCCAAGGACTATCGAGGAGTTTTTTATACAGATCAAAGAGAGCCTGCGTTCTATTCGTCATGATACCGACGTGATATTTCAGCCTACACGAATCTATTAACGTTAAATTCGAATTATAAAACTCCGGAATGTTAACGCGCGTTACATTGACCCGTGGAGCAACGATTCCTGTCATGAAAACATCCTCCAACGGCAAATACTTCGTTCTTAATGCCTGTTTGTACAAATCACGAACAACATCACTCGTGAACAAATACGCTGGCCCCCTGATGAACTTCGGTAAGATCGAAGGGGCGTACTGCTCCGGCGAGATATAGTACTTGCTTTTCTTGTTGCGAAAAGCCCAGGCACCAACCGCCAACTTCCCGATGATCTCTCGCCTGTGATTCGGCGACGATTCGACCAATCGCAGCAACACCGGTACGTTGATGAACATGTCATCGTCGGTCTTCAAGACGTATTTCACCCGCGGGCAATAGTGGTCTACCCATTCCATGATCGAGGTAGTTTTGAGAGAGAGGTGTCGGTAGGTGTCGAGAAACCTGGCTTTGATAATGTCGCCGTAGAGTTTTGACTCCTTCTCGAGTGCGGAGGTCAGGTTTAGCGAATTAGTTCGGCCCAAGACGAAACTCATTCGGAGGTCTTTCCGATGCGTGAAGCTGCCCCAAGTTAGCCTGATCGCCATTCGCTTGTCTGTGTTGTTCGGCGCGGAGATGATTAAAATTAAGACTTTTAAAGAAACGCCTAAGTCAGGACAGAGCCCGATGTTCGGTGTGTCGTAGCCGGGCTCGTATAATTGATTCGTCAGTTGTATGTTCGAGGATCGATTGCCAGGCTGTGGGGTCGTCGGTGGTGGTAAAGGTTTTTGTGCCTGGAAACAAGAGAAAAATTATGAAATACGTACGTAAAAGTCGCTCTCTGGCGCTCTGCGACGCCCAATCGCCACAAAACTCGGTCCTCCCACAACCCACCAGGGAGTTGGTACTCCTTTATCTCTTCCAGACCCTCCTGTCTTCACTCTTTCACCGGGCGCCCCCTTCGTCTTCTCCCAGGAGGAACCTAATCAAGTAACTTCGTCGCTTAATTGGACAGCGTTTTTCAGAAAGGAATCAAGCCACATCAGTTATTGTCAAATTTAACTGGGCAATTTAATTTTTCACGAGAGAACGTCTGTGTGGATTCTTTTGAGAATTTTGAGGAATTTGCTTCGTAATATGGAGAAAATCCACTGAAATTTGCACGAAAATCCGCACAACCGTTCTCATGTAAAAAATTAAATTGCCCTCTTAAACTTGGCAACAGCTGGTGTGGCTTAGTTCCTTTCTGTTTAACGCGTCCAATTATGAAATAAGTATTGCAGGAAGTCTGCAACGTCGCAAACCGAACAATGTGGTTTGATAGTTTCACTATCGATATGTCGTTGCATTATCACTGCTGAACAGCTCTCAAAGTTATCGGAAAAATGCGCAGGGTGCTTTAATTATTGAGAAATTTTCTTCATAACGCAAAAGAGCGTGGCTAAATTAAAGGGAATACCTGAGATGAATTGACTGATTTTGCTGGGGTCGCCTCTGTAGAATTAAAAGTGCTCCAGTTACTGCTGATGACGTCAGCAGCTTTTTCAACGGTGACGGTTCCTTCTAATTGCGCTTGGTTCGGCCAATGGGCTAGGCTGCTAATATTTCCTACAACATCAGAAAGTCTGAATTCTAAGACTAAATTCTTCGACACAAAAAATAAGTACAAAATAATCAAGCTTCGTAGGTTTTGCTCCGTCTCTCTCCATGAACCTAATTGCCAAATTACTTAATCGTGTCAAAATGCATCGAAATAAAAAAGGTTCTGAACAGAAGCATGAAAGCTATATTCTCTCCTGAACTCTTCACGAAGAATGGAGGTGTTGCATGCGTGAGGAATTTGCGATTTGACTGTTGATTCTTACGTAAAGTTCGAGAGAAACACGATGGTGCCACTGGTTTTCTCTGAAATCAACTCCTAAGCTCAAAAAAAGCTCTCAAGTTGAGGCCAAAATGGAGGGGATATCCCACGCTATCCTGAGAGTCCACCTCTACATCAAGACAAAATCTCCATGCAAAGATACGGAGCAAATACATTGACAGGGCTGCCACTTTATTTGGGGACTCTAAAACTGAAAACACAGCAACCCTGCCAATGTATTTGCTCCCTATATTTGCATGGAGAGTTGGTCTTGATGTAGAGGTGGACTCTCAGGGTAGGGTGGGATGTCCCCTCCATTTTGGCCTCAACTTGAGAGCTTTTTTTGAGCTTTGGAGTCGATTTCAGAGTAAACCAGTGGCACTATCGTGTTTCTCGCTAAGTTTTACATAAGAATCATTAGTCAAATCGCAAATTCCTCACCCATGCAACATCTCCATGAAGGGTAAGAAAATTCACTCGGTGCATGAGTTTAAAATTTTGTGGATTCCTTAAGCGAAAATCTTAGAAAGGTAAACAATTTCATGTTTTAATAAGCCCTCCTTTCCTTGTATTGTCTGGAAAAAGGATCTGAAGAAACTATAGAATTACGGTATTTATCAAGAAGTGTAAAGTATCCAGTATCCACTTATCCAGCAAATCAAGGAGTTTGTTAGGGAATGGGTGTCAAAATTGGGACTTTAATTTCTCTCCGTTGCAAGAGTAAATAAACAGCGTTTAAACCCTGGTAAAAATTGGCTGTAGAATCCGTGTTCCAAAATATCATAGACCTAAAGCCGGCTGTTAGATTTTCAATAGCTTCTACAGGCGGCTGCACAATTTCTTATAGCCTTTTATAGCCGATGGCGACTAAGCAACAGCCAGGCGAGTGTATGCTAAATGTTACTAATTACGGATGCTAGGACTTAGTGAGTTTTTGGACTACCGCTCTATTTTTGGGCCGTAGTATCTTGGTTTATTTTGCGCGGAAAGTTCCGTACTTTTGAAGGATGCCTACCATTCCTAATATGTTGGAGCGCCTTCAATTCCGAATGATACTGTGCAATACCTCTGGTGTGAAATAGTTGCTTCAACGCTGTGGCACGCGCGGCGGGCGGGCAGCCAGCGTGAAAAGCGCAATAGCGCCCACAAACCTAACAGGGATACTCCACACATAGCGTAATGCGTGAAGTATCCCTGTTAGGTTTGTAGGCGCTAATGCGCGCTTATCGCTGGCAGCACGCCGCTCCGCTCTGTGTTAGGCTCCAATATATAATCTCGCGGAGTCAACGTTTTTCAACTCATGATTTTGAAATGTTTGCACATCCTATAAGGATTATTCTCATTTTAATTGATGAAAAAATATGTATTAAAGGAAAATATAATATGTGTTTTGTAAATATTATGGTGGTTCCGTATCAAACTGAATGATTTTCAAAGCACATGAATTTCGACACAATTTCTTATAGCCTTTTATAGCCGATGGCGATAAAGTGTAAAGCCCGGCAATAGGAACTATAGCCCGGCTGTATACTTTTTTATCGCTTCTTATAGCCCGGCTATATGATTTTCTATTGCCTTCTTTAGCCGGCTACAAGAATTCCTATGGTATTTTGAAACGCAGCTCCTGTCGCCAATTTTTACGAGGGAAGTGGATGTTACTTGTTGAAATTTCCTCACAGAATCAAACAAAATATGAAAAATTCGATATTTTCCCCAAAACTCAGTGGAAAATATAATTTTCTAAGAAATTTAATTGGGAAATGATGAGAAATCTTCAGATGCCATGAGAGAATTCATCCGTGAAACTCAGGTATGGCACCTCATAGACGGAGATCACCTGAATATTGGGTTTGAGGTTATAAAACATCTGGTCGCTAGAGTACCCACGCGCTAATGAGATAGATGCAAAAAAAGCAATTCTTGACCCTTAGAAACAAAATTTAACTAGAGAAGGACTGTTATCTGTAAAACTCAAAAGGAAAAGTTCTGAATGCAGAAATTTCAACTTTTCATTTCAAAATTCTCTTTCTTAGATATTCCCACAAGGATCTGTGTAAAAATCCATAACGCAATGCTCTACTGCACTCTCACATGAGTTTAAATATTCAGATGTCGTCTGATATCGCGGTTCACGGTTTTGCATAATCCGTGGCATCTTAACTGAGAAAAACTCACCATAAAATCGTCGAAAATTGTACCGGAGAGTGTCGAGGCTTTTTGATGTGGAAGTAGTGGAGTTCCGGTGGAAACAGAGAAAAATCAGGAGAGCTAGAAAGAAACTTGTTCCGAAAAAATAATAAGCTCGCGGAAATTTCGCTCTCATCCTCTGTCGAAAGAAAACTTTAACCGCACTGTATTTAAGTGAAAGTTGCATGGTCCTTAACTGCCCTCGACATCATTTTTATCGGTTTTTTGCACAACTCCTATGGAGGCCTCACTGTGGATAGTACGCTAGGTGGATGATCCGAATAAACGAACATGTGCGAAAATGTGTGTAAATAACAACAACAATAAAAGGAAGGTTATACGTAGCATTTACAACTCTTTGGGACTCGTCACACTAGCACATTCAACACGTGGAATATGATCATCGTATCGTGTTTATAGTCACGCGACTAGTTTATACGGTTCAGATTATGTTACGCAAGTGGTTGGAGAAAGGAGGAGGTTGGAACGGATTTTCCGCCCAAAAAATTGCTAGATTGTGCATGTTTGATGCGTTTATTACTCCGTGAATGAGTGAACATGATTAAAGATCCGAGAAAAAAAGTGGAAATAAAATATAGTATTTACTGATCTAATATTTTAACTATCACGTGTGAAACGGAATCTGCCTGGAGCTTCCCTAACTAACTGTTTCGTGGTTGTTGATATTTGCTCAGTTGTACAGGCTTCTATGTCGAACAAGAGAGTGGTGGGGCTGTGAGGGGGATAAGTCCGGGGGGAAAAAAGGGAAAATGATGTTAGAGTGGATGGACGGAGACGAAATCAACAAACCGCACCGTATTCATGAAGTTTTGGCTTCGACTGCTAAAACTGAAATCTCCGCGCAACACTGTAGAATGCTTCGTGTGAAAACCTCCGAGGATCAACTTTATTGCGTACACTGCCGCGCGAAGGAAAAACGCCGTATGAGCCATCAGGCGTTGTCAAATTTTCTTCGATAGAATATAAATTTCCTGGTAAACTTGTGAATATTTTTCTTCCAATTTTTCAGGGGATATTCTTTGTATTTTGATCTAAAGTTCCTGAAAATTTCAAGGAAAAATATTCATAGCTTTCCTCATGTATAAACATTTTATCAAAGGAAATTCGGCAACTCTCGAATTTTCATACGGCGTTCTTCCTTAGCACGGCAGTACAACAGGTTGGTGTGTTTGCGTCAATCACGCAAAAAACGGGAGACAAAGTTGCTTTTGCGTGCATTTATGATCGCAGGCTTTCCCAGCTTGCGAACTAAAAGTGGAGTAGCAATGCCTTTACAGGACAGAAATATTCACTATGAATTCACGCAGTCATTTTAGGCCTCATGAAATCTTACGATTTAAAGAAGGCAAAGCATGCAGATAATTCAGAAGATAGTAAAGTGATTGGGAAAAAATCGAGCTACGAGCCAAAAATAAAATAAACAAATAATATTTCAAACTACCTAGAGATGAGAAATAATAAAAAACTTACCTTCAGTGCAACAAGTGGAAACATTTTACAAATAAATAAATAAATATTTAAAAAAAGCTGCAAAACTATTAACAAACGAAGTAAGACCGCAGTTTGTTGGCGGTCGGAACGTTTGGTTTGTTTCCTGTAAGTTTTTTTTATTATTTCTCATACCTATGTAGTTTGAAATATTATTTAGGTATTTAATTTATTTTTGGCTTGTAGCTCGATTTTTTTTCAATCATTTTACCATGTTCTATGCAGCTTATCCAGCCAAATTTAGCATCAAAATTTATAATTCAGAAGAAGTGATAGTAAGTTGTTTAATTTGCGTGTATCACAATGCTTTTCATTCAAATCATACGTGACAATTCGTCGCTCCTCTGGCGTAAGGGTGTAACTCAATTTCCGCGTGATCCGTTTTCCCTGTTGAACTCAATGCTTTCTAAGGCTCATGTGAAAATAGAGATACGCCCTTAGGCCTTACGTCAAATGGGCGATGAATTACTACAAAGTTGGTAACAGACGCAACAGCGGGCTGATTATTGAAAATGATAGACATAACGATAGACAGATACACGGGGTATGGAGCTATTCCACTGGTTGGAATGGATGGTTGTTATAGACTAAGAGGGAAAATGATAGACTGACTAAAGTTCTCTCGTCGGTTGCCGTTAGTTAGTCTATCACTTACCACCTTTGTCCATTGCAACCATTCCCTTCGACCAATAGGATCGCCTCATTTGCCTCATGTCATCTCTGTCCAGAGCTTTGTCAATCAATGTCAATAATCAGCCCGCAGGTGATAAACATCAAAGGCTGGCAACAAAAAAATCATCCGAGTTTCTGAATTGTTACAAGGAGGATACATATTTTCCCGTTAATTATGGTAAAAACTAGAGCAGATAGTCAAGAATGATGACCAGCAGTCCTACAGCATTCCTGCAGTCTTGTAGGTGCTCATATCGACGGTGTAAGTCAGCAATCACATAACTCGGTTTGCGACGTCGCAGACTTCCTTCATACTTTCTTTTTTAAATTGAAAACTACTCAACGGCAATTATTTAAGACTGCCATGATTTTTCTTCTCTGTGCGGAGAAAATTCTGCAAAAACTTCAAGGAATAATTTTAATTTGTTCTCCTTTAAAAAAATAACATAGAGGCGGAGATTTTCAAACACAGCAAACGAGTTATGTGATTGTCGACTTACACCGTCGATATGCGTTTCACGCCAATGATTGACTGCACTGCGTTCGGCGCAATGCGCGAAGTATTCATGCAGTCTTGTAGGCGCTAATATGGGCTGTGCGTTGACCGCACCGTTTGGCGCAACACATGAAGTTTCCCTTAAGTCTCGCAGGCGCTAATATACGTTTAACGCCGGCCACACTGTGTTCGGCGCAATCAGTCGAACTTGCGTTTGATTAACTGCGGCATCGAATAATAGAGCTTAAAAGGCCCATGTTGTGTTTCAACGCCGTATGAGCATTCCAACGTTGCCTCGTTTCTTCCGCTTAAATATTTTTTCCGAGAAAAGTTAGGAAAGTTCTTTATACCCGCGCGCGACCACTATTCAATGTTTTCACTTCATTTATCATCAGAAGGTAAGACATCGATGACTAGTCAACAAACTAACCTAAACTAGTGTCAACATAAAAATGTATTTATTTTCCAGCCGTTCCTTTTTTTTTTGCCAAACTTCTACCTTAAATTAACTTCATTTTAAATTCGCGCAGTCCTGTAGCAGATGTCAAGGTTTCTATTCGCGCAATCCGTGTGCCTTTTTTGCCTAAGCCTCATATATTTTCTTAAACCTTTCGCACAATCCTAAATTACCAGGCAGAGACGACCGAAGGTTTCTTTTTGTTTGTTACGAAATTTCCACGTGCGGAGTTTTTTTTTTAAATTTCACAAAAGGAACTGGGCATGAAGTTAAATAAGCATAATGACAGAAGTGGCATTCGTATTAACGGTAACTTTTATTACATTTATGAAACATCGACGTAAATGCATGCATTCAAATAACAGGAAATATCATTATATGTTTTGAGATTTTACACTAACATGATGAAGTTACATAATTTGACTCATTGTGTCATCATACGACGGAGTGATAAACATTTCAATATATTGAGTTGATTCTCTGAAACATTTATTATAGTAATAATCGAAACAAGGAGAAAGACAGATAGTCTCAGCTCTTTTTGATGTTAGATTGAACACATTTGTCTTGCAAACTCATTTACGAACAAAAACTAAAAAGTGATTGGCAATAGGACAGAGGCGTAAATTGTTAAAATGAAATAAATTTAACTCTCGTTTTAATTGACTTTTAAGGCTCATCATTATTGTTCCGTTCTCACTACTTTGTGCACTTAAAAATTTTACGCTGCGCGGGAAAAACCCCTGAATCTGCCGCCGACTAGTATTCTTCCGTAAATCAAGAATGATGTTGCTTAATTAAGCTACTTTTTTGCTTAAACATTGTACTTTGTTCTTGCTTCTAAAGAAATGAGCTTGAATCAATAGAGCTTGAGTCAAGGTATATGTAAAAAAAAAAAACCTTTTGGCGGCAAATTCAAGAATCATTTTGCTTGAGCCACGCACTTTTTTTCACAATTTGAGGATTTATGATGAAAGCCAAGGTGACGTCATGACTCTGAATCACGCAGAGTGTTTTTACTACATATAGGGAAAAATCTAATCTACATACAGCATAATTCCCCTCATAGGGTTTGCCTGTTGAGCAACTTTAGTCACGTCCAATCAGAAAGCAACTCTGCCTTGAAGGAAAAACGCCGTATGAGCTTCAAGCCGTTTCCAAAATTTCCTCCGATAAAAACCGAAATTACGGGGAAAATTGTGAATATTATTTTTCAAAAATTTCGTACAGTTTTGTCCGCAATTTAATCTAAAATATCTGAAAATTTCAAGGGAAAATTTGCATGAATGTTTTCAATAATATACATGTTTTCTCTAGGGAAATTTGGCAACTCTCGAATGTTCATACGGCGCTCTTCCTACAGCATAGTACAGCAGAACTATAGACGCGTTTCGAGTCTGATAGGGTCCATCATCTACTTTTTTTTCAGTGTGTAGACAGATTGAATTGAGGACAAATAAGTGCCCGTCCAGAGTTAGAACTGAGAGATTTTCTTAACTCGACGTTCCTATGGGGTTTACCAAAATCGGAGGTATTCGAATTAAAATTGGAGAACAAGTCTACGTAGCGCAACCTCATCGGTCAGCACTGGGTCAAAGCAAGAATAAATTTATAAAAGAGGGAGCAATATTTCCGCACAAGTTAAGACAAGTAATACGACAATTTCAATTCTTTAAAAACTCCGTTGCAACGATTGTTAAATTGGACGTATCTCTATCGAACGGAACTATGTGAATTATGACGTGAGCCCCGCTATGCACGTATTCTTATGAGTTTCAGGGCTCATGTCTTAATGCACATATTTCCGTTTGATAGTAATTAGCGAGCAGACACGTTTCGAGCAGACAGCCCATCATCGGTGCGAGAATTATTTTAAAAAAATTTATTAAGAATAAATTTCTACGGAGAAATTCTGTACTACGTAAATGATACATTGATTGTCTCTTTCACACTCAGGGACTAAGATAATTATTCCTCGCTTGCACTCTTGGCTCATAGACTAAACTTTAAACCTCAGTTTTTTAGACTTACTCGCCCAAGAACGTCACTTAATTTTTTGTTTTAAATCATTATGAAAATCAACACACATAATATGCTTTAAGATTTCACTGATATCAAATAGAGTATAGAGACTGCATGCCCGTTATATTGCTGAAATGAAACTTTCAGAGAGTTTCTTTATGTTATAGGTTGTAGAAAGATAAAACCTAGTTTTTAATCAGGGAAACCTAAGTTCAGTCGTGGAACTAAAAAAAAATGTTGAGCTCAAAACCTTCTCTCTCTTGTATTTGAGGATCATCCTATAATACCATAAATATTCTATAATATCGTAATTTACAATGACAATGTACACTTTGAATTATATTTACAAATTCTAAAAAGACAATCATCAACAGTGGTGGTGACTCTGATCAGTGTATACCAATTAAATGTTTCAATTAGGCTTCAAGCTCTGATCAAAGTTAGCCGGTCGGCACTTTTAAAATTAAACGGTTACGGATTCGTTCCATTAAATGCTTGAAAGATTTGTTTGTTAGTTGTTGTAAAGACATCGAAAAAGGCAGGCGAACAAGTATGTTTGAAGTCCAGTTTTAGCACATGTTCCGATAAAAGCATGAATTAAAATCCTTAAAAAACATTATGAATTACAAAACTTTTTATGCACTTTTGTTTTTATTTTTTAAAGATTTGTGTTCTAACGGTCCTAATCTGTTTTTGAAACCCTAACATTTCCCAAGTAGCATTTTTTAACGGAGCAAATTGCGATATTTTGAAATTAAGTTGCGATTTTTTTACGTTTTTTTGGCGATAAAATTGCTAGGGTCATCAACATCTGAGTGATTATCCTTACGTGATCTCGTTAGAATCCTATCTCTATAATATAAAATCGAGTTCGACAGAATCGAAGTTTTATATCAACTTATCACGATTTTTTGTTCGATACTATGTTGATAAATCGCGTCGATGTAATCGCGATTTTATTCTAAGCTATGAAATCGTAATTTATCGCAATTGTTTATCCGATAATATTGCAATAAATCGACGTCAATAAAATTGCGGTAAATTATCTGATCAAATCGCAACTTATCGCGATTACTGCTTCTTAGGTTTGGTGTCTCCACAAGTCGGAAATAATAATCATGAGAAGTATTTTAAAAAATCATGAGAATTGTCATAACACCCAAGCAATACAGTGCAACAAAATATTGGTATTAAATTGCAATTTTATTTCAATGCAATTGTAATTCATTTACCATTAAATTGCAATATTTTTACATCATTTAGTCGATTTATGCAGATTTTAAATAATCAACAAAATGAGCTCCATGTGTCAGAAAGATAGGACAGATGCAATGCATTAAAAAATTGCAACTTATTTCCATTTTATTGCAAAAAGTTTCAATAAACGGGCCCCCTTCAAATAGGAGACAGGCAACATACACTACACTCAGTGGAATTGCAATATTGTTACAACGTAATTGCTACTTATTGCAATCTGTACTACTTGGGATGTAAAACATGATTAACGCTTTCACACGTTTAGGTTGTATCAAGCGTATCTAAAAATATTATAAAGGGGAATTTTCCCTTGAAATCGTCATTACAAATGCGCATTCATGAACCTTCCCGTAATGAAAATGATAACCTGTGTTTAATGGGAACAATTCTTCGCCGTTCGATATTCCATTATGACCAGGTGCAACTGTACTGGCACAGATACAAAGTTATAACGGATTTTCTTTATGCCTGAAAACCGGTCTGAACAAAAAGAACTTCCGTTTTTACCACAAGGAATGCGCATCAAGAGATCTCCTTATAACGAAAACCTGCCGTTAACTGAAAAATGCCTCCGTCTTGTAAGATTACCTCATGACCAGGTCAGGTACCACTGCTAATGAATTTTTAATAAATTGTTTCTTTAATATCACTATAAACATAGCCATTCACTGGATATTTCGTTAGAAAACTTAAGTTAAGGGATACTCACAAATTCTCAAATCACGATCCCTGCTTTCAGGTTTTAACCGCCGTCATGACTAACTTTTTTTTTCTGCCGGACCGAGTTTAGAAAATATCTAGTTTATAGACGTATTTATAAAAGTGCATATCTGCACTGCGTAGAGAATCAACAACAGATATGTGGACGTATGTAAAATGAATTATTTATAAATGCATTGAAATATATGTAGGTACGAAAAAGTATGAACGAAAGTTTGAACTATGAAGTGTACCATGTACACTGTTTCTTTTGATTTACTCAATTACTATACATATAGTTCTTTAATTTAGTGTAAATACGCCCATTCTGTTCCTGAAAGCCAAAACATTTGGTCCCTATCTAAAAATCTCGATCCAACCAATATTGATTATACACTGCATATCCAAAATGTGTTTTGATTTTAGAGCATCGAGTTGATTTTGTGAAAATTGTTCAAGTGTTGCACTGAGGACATGTGACCTTCTGCGTTTTTTCGCGAACATAATCCTGGACGTTGAATGCCGCTCCGTCTTTATCACCAGTTTTTCTTGCTAGTAAATCTCTGAAACATACATGTTAAAATATTAGTTCTTGTCTGCCCTGAAATTGCCACTTGAAAAAGTGTAAATTTAAGTATTAAATATCGAATGATCCCTGACTAAAATTGCGTACAAGACGCTTTTAATTGTTCTGTAGAGAAATACGTGTTTGAAGTTTCGACATTACATCACTGGAAAAAAACCACATTGGATCTAGGAGCCCAGACTCATAAAAACATCGACAAGAAAAAATACTCTCGATTCAATCGGATTTTTGTTAAAATTAAGAACCAAGCCCCTTAATTTGAGCGGATTTCCTTTTGATTTAAGCTTAAATCCGATTGAATCAAGAGTCCTTTTTCTTGTCAATGTTTTTAAGAGTCTGGACTCTAGATCCAATGTGTTTTTTTCCAGTGCTGGATCCTTACGGCAGAAAGCTCAAACTGACTTTTGGATTCTTAAAAATTGGAATTTGGGAGCGAATTTTTCACAGCGTATGCATGAAGACCAGTTTTACTTGAAATCGTTAATATTTCTATTTTTCAAAAATTGCACTTATGCGCATTGTCCAGACCCCTCAATTGTCCACCTGTTCCACCTGTCGCCAATAGGCTATTGTCTATTGGCGACAAGTGCCATGAGTGGAGGGTCTCATGTCTCTGATTGGGCCGCATATCGGCCAGGGAGCGTATCCTCTAGTTTAAATTAATTTGCAAATAAAATAACTTCCCTCTGTAAATATGCCCGTCCAAAAAAAAAACATCTCATCGTGATCTAGGAGCCCTTTTCCGAAAGGAACAACTCCTTTTTCTGCTCGAGGTAAAGTTCGCAACGGACTCATTGTAAACTTCGCTGATGCGCTCACTGTGATTTTTGAGGGAGTCTACACAAGAGACAACTTCCCTTTGATGTCGGAGGAGAAGTTTGGAGAAGAGCGATTACCTGGCGATGGCCATGAAAGCGAGTTCAACGTTGAGGCCGGTCTTGGCGGATGTCTCCATGAAAGGCACATGATATTCCCGGGCCAGTCTCTCGCCGTCCTCTTTCCTAACGAGTCGCTCGCTCGCCGCACAATCCGCTTTATTCCCTGCGCATAACAAAAATACGTTAGATTTCAGTATGGATCATCGCACGTGCAGCGGGTTGATCGTTGTAATAGACAAAGCTGTTGACAATACATTTTAATGCCAAAGGCTGGCTAAGTTGCATAAAACATGGTAAAACGATTGAAGAAAAATCGAGCTTCAAGCCAAAAGTAAATTAAGCAAGTAACGTTTGCTTTGTTTCTCGTAAGTTTTTTATTATTTCTCATCTCTATGTAGTTTGAAATATTACTAATTTATTTTTGGCTCGTAGCTCGATTTTTCTTTAATCATCATTTTACCATGCTACAGACAAAGATGACATACAGAGTATGGTGCGACCCTATCGGTTGAAATGAATTTTCTTAAAGACTAAGGGGGTAAATGATGAACTAACTTATAGGATCTCTCGTTGAATGCCGTTATTTAGTCTATTATCTACCTCCGTTGTCCATTGCAACCACCGACTTCCACCAATAGGATCCCACCATACCTCTTTTGTCTTATTTGTCTGTACAATAATCAGCCCGCACGGTAGCAATATACTGATTTAGTGACTATTAGGAGAGTGTCACGCCATTATGATTTCATATGTTGAAGGATAGGAACCTGCGTCAGAAAAGCGTTACAAGATGGAGTGGGGAGATAAAAAATGCCTAAAAAGTGTGGCACGTAATTTATGAACGCTCCATTTAGCAGACAAAACCTTAGCCGCGGAAACGTAGGAAATAAAATTTGGCTGGGAAAAACATGAACCATGAACAACATAGCGAATTCAGATGAGTCCCAGACAGAGAGTGTTGGTTTTTTACAATAATGGGGGTCGAAAGAAGTTTCCATTTCCCAAGAAAATATCACTGAATTCTACAGTTCCTTTTCGAGTACAAAAACCCAGCAGTTAACATCTTCAAATTCCATTAATTCAAACCTCTCACTGCCGAAGTAATCTAAACCCTACTCGTATAATTTGCCCCAAAAACGAATCTATCAATCCCAATAGACCCCCCCCCCCAAAAGGTTCAGCTTTTTGAAAAACTTATTTCATTGTTTTTTTTAAACAATAAAATTAGTTTAGTGTCAATTTTGACGCAAGTAGACTTTTGGTTCTCCGCTAGCGTAAGGTTTAAGTTTGACCATTTTGTACGTTGCCACCGTAGTTTATACGAAATTTTGACAAAGAAAACCATTTGCTGTGATGCTTCATTTTTAACTTAAGTCGAACATCGTTTTGGAATCCAACCGTGAAAAAAAAAATTCTCTTATTTTATTTCATCTCATTTCTTATTTTCATCATGTGGAAACACTTTTACACCAACGGGTCGATTTTAGAATCGCTATCGAATGACCATTATCGATAAATCCCTGTCTTAGCAGAGCCAATAAATCTTTATCAATGGCATTCCATGTCCATCGCGTTTCACCAGGCGCTGGATACGACTATTCCTGCTCTGTGGTAGTCTGTGCTGCATGTCAACGTATTGAAGGCGTTTTCAGCGACGCGACGCACACTCGCACTCGCCGCTCGCTGCGCCTCGTCCCAAGGTGCTTCAATTCAGACAGCGCGTAGCAAAAAGGGAGCAAGATTTTTAAGATTTTTGTCCATTTGCCAATTGGACTGCATTTTGCAATTTGGACCTATAAATTCTGGCTCATCTGAAAAAACACTTATGTGCACAGGGGAACTAATGGCACATACGTTGTTTTTAAACCAGACCGTAATTTATAGGTCCAAATTGCAAAGTGCAGTCCAATTATGCTTGGCAGTCCTCTTATTCAACGTATCTTATACAACGTAGACGTAAACGTTTACCTGGTGCCGAGTGTCAGGCACACCTAATATAGTGTATAATGTAGAAGATACTTGTATGGGTTATATTAAAGAAGATTATGAATCGTTACCTAGGAGCATGATCACAACGTCATTTTGAGCGTATTCTTTGATTTCGCCTAACCAGGCTCGTATGTTGTCAAAACTCGTCTTGTTGCTGACGTCATACAGAAGGAGAAGCGCTGAAAAAAAAACGAGAATAATCAGTAGCAATGACAGCGGTGAATGGTCTCGAGTATCCGCGGCCCGGTTATCCGCGGTTCAACAGGGAGAATTGGATTTCATTTTGCAATAAGGAACTACTATCTCCGGCTTTACCGAAGGCACCTTTCGCATACGGAAACCGATGGCATATATCGACGGTGAAACTACCAAACCACGTATCTCGTTTGCGGTGTTTAAAAATGTACGCTCACATTTTATTTTTTTAAAGTAGACCAAATCAATATCATTCCTTGAAATTTTCACGGAATTTTCCCCGCACAAAGAGGAAAAATCACAGAAATTTTCAAGACTGGATGTTAAGTAGTTTTTCGTTTAAAAAATAAAGTATGACAGGAAGTCTGCGACGTCGCAAACCGAGATACGTGGTTTGGTAGTTTCACCGTCGATATGTTGATTCTGTAATGAGCCAGACATAGTGGTTCTTTATTGCAAAATGTGGACCAATTATTCGATTTCTTGCTTGTTTAATAAATGAGAAAAAAGGTGAAAAATTAATCTCTGCGTCAGTAAAGTATTTGCAGGAAGAGAGCAGAATTTTCCCTCATTTCAGCAAGGTAATTTTTTTTACATTACTTTATTTTTTATTATCTGTCATCAATTAGTCTCGTCCGTAGTCGCGGAACCATTGTTGCCAGATTGTGCTGGAAATTCAGCACATTTCTCAATTTAACTCATTGTTAAATTTTCAGGTTTTTTCACACAATCTGGCAACCTTGCTCGGAACGTAACTCCGTTTCAAGGTTGCAAAATTGACTCAAACAATTCGAAATTTCACAAAATTGTTTTGGTGCAATCTTCGTGCAAGATTTTTCTGGTTTTTGCATGACATCAGGAGAAAAATTTGTGTAAATTTCAGTTGGCCATGCCCAAATGTCTCCTTGTAAAAATGCAATTTGCAGCGGAAAATTTGGCAACTCTGAAATTTAGTTACCCTCTTTCGTGGAAGAAACGACGAATTATGGTGCGTTTAGTCTAAATCACCATGAAAATGGAGAGGGCTGCTCCTGACTTGAGAATTTCACGGATCTACTCCTGTATATTCCCAAAAATTGGCAAAAGTTTTAACAGAAATTCCGCAGTATAAATCTTGCAAAAAATTGGATTATTTGAGTGAATTTTGCAAACATAGAATGAATGCACGTGCTTTCGTCTTGCAAACTACAAACTATTCAGTTTTGTGATACGACATACTTTCTCCCTTGGGCAGTCACTTTAAGTCGGCGTTCATAGATTTCCGACGACGCACAGTGGATCGAGTTAAAGGGAGAGGTCGGACAAAATTTGGAAACTTTAAAAGCTTTTAACTCCGCTTACACAAAAATTTGAGGTTTTAAAAGTAGTTCCATTGGTTTCCTTGTGATATTTCATTCTAGCAGCACCGCTAAAAATTAGAGATGTGACGAAATAAACATCAAAATGTGCAGCACTGGAAAAAAAACACATTGGATCTGAGTCCAGACTCTTAAAAACATCGACAAGAAAAAATACTCTTGATTAGATCAGATTTAAGCTTAAATCAAGAACCAAGCCTCTTAATTTGAGCGGATTTCCTTTTGATTTAAGCTTAAATCTGATTGAATCAAGAGTCTTTTTTCGTGTCAATGTTTTCAAGAGTCTGGACTCTAGATCCAATGTGTTTTTTTTTCCGGTGAGTCTTAGTCAAAAATCTCATGTCCTACCTCGCTGATTGACTCGATCCACTGTGCGATGGGGAAATCTCCGAGACGTCCGATTTTGTCGTCGTCACAAAACGTTGCTCGGCCGACAAAAGAGCGTACGTACACTTAAAGATGAGCTCGGGAAAACGTTAAGTTATATGGACGATAGGGTTCTTGGCGAAGTGTATTTACGTCCGTATGTCAGGAGGGCGACGGAAAGTTCCGAATTTCAGCTTCGTATCGATACGTATTCGTTACGTCCTCCGCCGTAAATACCCCTCTTCCTTTCTTCTCTCTGGAAACTCACGCAGCGGGCTGAAAAGATCGCGGTGATTGAAACGTGCCGTAAGCCGTAACCCAGTTCCATATCCGGGCGTCCCCGACTTCCGGGCGGGAGGCGGGCACGAATCGGTCCACCATCACCGAAAACCGGTGATTGATGCGCTGCGAGCACCGGAGCTTTCCAACCCACGATGACCGCGATTGGAGATCGGACAGGGGCCACAGAAGAGAAATTGGACGAATTTATGCTAAAGGAACTATGTCACACTCAAACCCTATGTACATAGTTTCTTTTAGAATAAATACGTCCAATTGACGTATCGACCTCTTAGAAACAAAGATAGTTTTGTTTTGTTCGAGCGTCCAGCGGGCTGATTGTTGGAATGGACCACTAGACAAGGTACGAATTTAAGCGATCTGATACATGTTTCTTAACCAGAATTTCACGCAGAAAACGATTCACACAACGAAAATTACGGAAACCAACTCCTAACGAAAATATTAACGTTTTTATTTCACATTGGTTACGAGGAATTTGAACTGCCCGCTCACAAGAAACTCAAAGCTCTACGTGAGTCAAATCGCCCACTACAACGGTTTCAGCAAGCTTCTCAATCGAGCAATGTTCATTTTTCATCATGTGTTGTTCAAACTATTAGCAATTTGCTATAACTGAGCTAAAGCGTCAAGATTGAGGTTGCCAGATTTTTATATCGCAGAGACTGTCATGATAACGTTTAGCGCGCGATGTGAATCACGTAGACCATTGAGTTTTCATGAGCGGGTGGTTTGAATTCACGCATTAAGAATCATTAAATATCTTCGTAAGGAGTTAATTTCGGTAATTTTTGTTGTGCGTATCGTATTCTACGTAAAATTTTGGTTAAGAAACATGTATCAGAATGCTGAAATTCGTACCTTATCTAGTGGTCCATTGATAGAAAACACGATGGACAAAGAAGACATACGGAGTATGGAGCGATCCTTTTGTTTAATTTGGGTGGTTCTTTTAGACTAAGGGAGAAAAAGGTGGACTAAGTGTTGGGTCTCGCGTGAGTTGCCGTTCATTAGTCTATTACTTACTTCCTTTGTCCATTGCAACCACTCTCTTTCACCAACAGGATCCCTTAATATTCTCGTTGTCTATAGATTTGTCTATCAATATCAACAATCAGCCCGCAGTAGCTCAATTTTGAGTTTTTTCGGACTTCGATCTCTTTTTCTTTTATTTTCTGCGCAGTGTCGACCTGCCTCGAAAATTCTCGGGGTGCAGATACGTTTTTGGGGGTCCTTCCCTCGGGTGGGGCTGGGGCCACCATAACTAACGATTTTGTCGAAAATGAGGATTTGTTGGTGGTGGAATAGTAACTCATGCAATTTACGTTACTTTTTTTAAAAAAATAAAATCATTTTTTAAATGAAATGTTCCTTTCTTCTTTTGATTCATCTTCTCAAATTGTCATTGGTGAATATTTGGTTTAATTTCTATCCTTAAAATTTTCGATTTGAAATATACCTTATGTATACCTTTTTCTTTAAATAAAAGTATTACTTCATTTTAAAAACCATTTACATTTGTAAAACCTTCTCCAAGTGACGGCATTGACATTAATCTTGATGAGGCGTAGTTGTGTTGAAAGAAACTATACAAAATGAAGAAGTAAGGGGAAAACCGAGAAGCGCGAAATCTTTGGTTTTAACCCATTCGTACGTCGATCTTTTAGAGTCAAATACGTCAAATTTTGAGCGTTTGGTTGCACGTACACTACGCTGCAGCACAGTAAAAGCAAAAAATATAATAGTTAAAATTCATGTTATTTGGAGGTGATCAAATTTGACACGGAACCACTAAAATATTGACAGAACACCCATTATATTTTCCTTTAATACGTATTTTTTTTCTCATCAATTTAAACGAGAATAATCCACGCGGAAGGTGCAAACATTTCAAAATCATGCACTCACTTATACTGAAGATTTCTCGTCTAACAAGAAAAATATATTTATGTCTCTTCTTCTTAGTGATATTATTTTTCACTCAATTATAATAGTTTTATTTTTTTTAAAAATCATTATAGTTGTTAACATAAGGATAAAAATAACTAAATATATTATTAAAATAGCATTTTTAATAATCTAAAAAACGCATCATTATCTTCTTGGAGTCGAAAAACGCTGACTCCGCGAGTTTAAATATTAGAGCCTAACACAGAGCGGAGCGGCGTGCTGCAAGCGCGATACGCGCACTAGCACCTACAAACCTAAGGGGATACTTTACGCATTGCGTTATGCTTGAAGTATCCACTTAGGTTTGTAGGCGTCAATGCGCACTCCGCGCTGACCGCTCGCCCATCGCGTCGCGCCGCAGCGTGTCACGGCGCTTCAAGCAACTATTTCACAACAGAGGTGTTGCACAGTATCATACAAAATTGAAGGTGCTCCTACGCATGAAGAATGACAGGCTTTCTTTAAGACTACGGGGCTTTCCTCGCAAAATAAATCAAGACACTTCGGCACAAATAGAGAGCGATAATAGAGTCTTTATAGCGCTATCCCTCTCTTACACATTCAGTCAACGGGTGACGTCCGTTATCGTAGTTTTAGGTATAAGTTTACAATGAATCTTGACTTTGATGTAATTTTACTCAGTATTAATGCTGCCACACGTTGTGAATCAGTTTCTTGCATTATCTTGTACATTACGATAATTAATGTTTCTTAAAGACGTAAACCGTGAGGCAGCGCAGAGTGGTGGCAGATCTCGCCCCTAGATTACATAGAATCACCTTAACGAATTATTTTAGAAATGGACCGCGCTTAACAGAAAGGAAGCAAGCCACAACAGCCATTGCCAAATTTAACTGGACAATTTAATATTTTATGAGAGAAAGTTTGTGCGGATTTTTTTGAAAATTTAAAGGAATTTTGTTCTGTACTATGGAGAAAATTCACTGAAATTTGCTCGAAAATCCGCACAACCGTTTTCATATTTTAACTTCCCAAGTTTTGGCAATAGCTGATGTGGCTTGGATCCTTTCTGTTTAACGCAGTCCAAATAGCGTGTGTGCGTTGAAACTTACCGTGGGCATCCCTATAATAAGCGTGGGTGACACTCCGAAACCTCTCTTGGCCAGCCGTGTCCCAAATTTGTAACTTGACTTTAGCATCGTCCACTTGCACGACTTTATTCTGCAAACAAAACAAAAAATCGTAGCAGTCAGTATCGTAATCACATCATCTGAGGGTATCAATATATCCATTCAGTGGTGAGGCGTTAATCCAGGGTCTTCCGAACGAAGGAACGTAACTCTATTCCAAGGTTGCAAAATTGACCCAAACAATTCACTCTGTTGCATGTATGTACCTGTGCAATTTTTGTCCAAAATTTTTCTGATTTTTACCCAAGATCAGAGGAAAAATCAGTAAAACTTTCGGTGAGAAATATCCAATATTGCCTCGTAAAAATGCGAAATGCGAGAAGAAATTTGGCAACATTTAAATGTAGTTACGCTTTTTCATGGGAAGATCGACAAATCATCGACTTCAGATATTTTCCCGTTTGAATGCTGCAGTAAGCCATCGATTAGTTAGGCGTTCGTCGCGATTATCCTAATTTCATTATATCTAAATGAAAATTCGGTTCCGTGTACCGAACAAAATTTGGTAAATTTTTTATCATCCAAACTGTAATGGTATCACCGATTTTTTTGTCAGTGCAGTTAAATCAAAGCCGTTTTATCTTAGCCACTCCTTACCCGGCTCTTCAGAATTTACCCTTTAGAAAAAAGAAAGGGAATAAATTGAATGGACAAGATAATTGATTTACGACTCCTTTTTTCAGACATCATTAAATCCTCTAAAAAGAAGTTTCGACTTTTTGCGGTCAACTATCTGTCAGTGAAATCGAATCCCGCAATTAAGAAGATGCGACTCAAATACAAATATCATCTCAGCATAAAAAGAAAATTGGAATCCATCCGCTGTCAGACTATCCTTCTGTTTATTTCCCGAATGTATGCAAATTTTAAACTAAATCTTTTACGTGTGCCATAAAATTAATCTTACAAAAGACGGAGAGTAAAAACACATTAAACATTTTTGGAAGCACTTTATTTGCAAAGATTTGAAAAAAAAACAACAAACTATATTTATTCCAAATGATTGCTGAGACATATTCACGACGAGAGTAGAAAAATCAAAGGTATGCAGAAAATACCTGAAACAAAAAAGGACACATAGTCTTGATGGTAAATGATATTCCTTTTTCGACGTTTTCCGTCACCATCGATCCTCTATTGGCAAAGTGATTTCCAAATCTCGAATCATAGAGCAAAAGGGATGGATGATATTGCCCATATTCATCTCAACCATCATCAAGGCGTTGGAATCAAATGGTAGATTCGCTTTGACTGAGTATTTGTTTTAAAAATAAATCATGAGTTTGATCCTAAAACGCCAAATTAAAGTCACATTTGTTTCTAATGTGGAAGCTGTGAAAATTCCTCTGCAACGTGACGAAATGGAATAAGCAGAGCCCAGTTTTGAGTTTCTAAGGAGAAGAATTTATCTTTTGTTTCTCACATCCATCATTACTTAAAAGCAGACATACATACAAAGAAACAAACGAAAACATAATTAAACAATTTAATGAGCCTCGCCGAACAAATGTAATGCGACACTAATAGCAACGTTTCGACCTGTCCTTTTGAATTTTTGAGAATGCGTCGTGTAATAATGATCCGAAGAATATGAGTAGGGTAAAAAATACACACGATTGGAGAGGGGGGGAGGTTAAGAAGGATTTCAAGGAAGGAAAGTGAATCAAGAAAATACTCGTTTAACGGAATGTGAAATCTAAGACTGCTCCTCAGTATTGCGTATTAGCATGAAAGTTCTGACTGGATCTTCAGACCCGAACCGGAACTTTCATAACTCGCTTGAGTGACGCTCTTATTGCATCGTTTCAATTTGAAGGCACCCGTGACAACCTGAGCAATTCCCGGAAACGAATGCACGCGAATGTGAACTGCTTTGAGACCATGACAACTCGCAACGTGTAGCTACACATTCCCCACGCCGACTCCTGTAACCGCCCACCAAAAAGGTTCCTAAGCTCGCACGAAGGGCAAATTGAAGTAAATGTAGAAGGTGCCCACATCAAGCCGCATTTTGGAAGAGTTTGGAATAGCTTTAAACTGAACTATGGTTGGATATATTCTCCTGTCAAAAATTCAAAAAGCACGAGAAACAAATTGCAATTGTGAAACAGTCAATATTCTTTGTCCTGGACATTGAGTATGCTGCTGGAATGGGCCAGTTGCGCCGGTCACAGAATCGTGTCTTGGTACTTTTTTTTTGCAGATCAACTGGAAATCATAAGATCTGTCTAAAAAGCAGCTTCCTACGTTGAATATTAACCGAGATGTAGCGCCTTGAAAAATTCAATTCACGACGTCACCCACCGCGGTAGTACATACCATATAATGCACTACCGCGATAGATGACGTCAAAAATCCGACTTTTCAAATGACGATAGCTCGATAATACTCAGCGCTGCAAGTTGCCGTTTGGGCGAATCTTCTTATTTTTAGTTAATCTACAAGAATTAAGCATCAAAACATGATTCTGTTACGAGCGTAACTACCCAATTGAACTGAAATGAAACTTTAAAGATGATTTTTGGTAAATATGTTTGAACGAAGAAAGTATGTTAAAGAAAATTGACAAACAATTTTGAGAAACACCGTTGGCCAGTTTTTCCCAGGTTCAGTAAACTGACAATCCAAATAGCACAGCGCACCGATCAGGTTGTATTGATCGATAAAACTTCTACCAATCGTGCAATCTATCGATGAAGATTGCTCGATAATTCAGAGATCGCATTTCGATTTATCAGCCGAGTGACGTAACATCTGTATGAAGAACAAGCCTACCTTCCATTAGCACGGCGTAGGTAAATGATCGATTATCGATATCTCTCCATTTGAGGCCATGGTAAAGCATCAATTATTAAGGTGTTCGTTGCGAACACCCTGTTTATCGATCCTTATGCATAGGTTTAAATGACAGATCAATCGATATTTCGCAAAGCATACCACACCACTGCTCCTTCCTCCCAAGAGACGTCACCACTGGAAATCCGCTTACCGCTCCTGCTCTAGGATCTTCGGGCCTAGCAAAATTATCCGACTTGTCCAATAAGCCGCGCCTTCTGAGAAGTCTCGTGCCAATTTTCAGCCGAGCATTGCCGGATGCCTAACCTTGCGAATTCCCGGCGCAGCGCACATTGCAATTACTCGGAAATCTCACCTCCTAATTCAGGGGAATCGGAGTAATGGGCATCGGGCATTCTCAGAAATCTGATCCTCTCTGCGGTGAGTGTGGCCGCCTCCTGTAGATTTTGGCACTTAGTTGAGCTGAAATACTGCGCAATCTGGGTAACATTTCCGAAGAAACTCGGTGCTGGAAACGGTCAAGTCCGAAATTCATAGAAGTCTTAAGGGCCGTCCAAAGTATGTTACAGCTAGTGGAGTCTACCAGCTGGAATTCGCCGTTTTCATAATTGAGATTCTACAAGTGAATGCAGGGTAGCCAAATTGTTGTACACAACCATCAGTTATTTTATTTAAAAGGCAGCCAAAAGTTTTGGAGTTAAAAAATCACTTGTGTATATAATTAATTATGGAAACATTTGCAAAGTGAGATTATAATATTCTTATATTGACAGTAGATTTTAGAGAGAAAAATCGGCAGGAAAAGTTCTAACAATTAACTTTCAAATCTTTATCGCCTTATCGACGGCCGAGAACCAATCGACACCAATTCAGCCGACAAATTATTAAAAAACCGGCGCGGATTGGATCGATTCATGAGTTTTTCGATCAATTTACGATTTTACTTTTCGGTCGATTCGTTTCCATCAAATCCACACCCTCCGTTTCGTCAAATCCATACCATACGCTTCGAAAGGGTTCATTGATCAAATGAACTTCATTTGCAATTAGGAACCACAATATCTGACTTTGTTTAGGAACTATGAATGTACCGTTACTTTCCTTATACAAACAAGAGTTTTTACAGATGAGCCAGAACTTGTAGTTCCAAACAGCAAAATGCAGTCCAAATGATCAAGCCATTACATTGCTGAGCAACGAGGGAGCTTACATGTAAAAGTCACTCTACTTTCTTCCTTTTCTTTAAAATTATGTATAAAAATATATAAATGAAGGGGAAAAAATTAGTTGGGTTTAATGTAATGTTTTATCACTTGAGATGACAATAATTCCAACTAACTTCACAAAAACTTCCAAATCATAAGTTGAAAACCGCTGACGCCGCAAGTTTGAATAATCACATAAAACACAGTGCGGCGGCGGTACGGGGCTGACGCGCACGCCGCGTTACCTATAGTAGCGGCTTACAAGACCGCAGGATACTATATGCATTGCGCGCACAGCACGGGTCGCGCAACGCTAGTACAACGCCTAACAAGTCTGCAGGATACTTCATGCATTTCGTGTGTATCACGGTGCGCGCTCAAGTTCGGACGGTGTTTAATTTTTTTTTTTTGTTGATGAAAATAATAAAGGAAATACAGCGAAAATATCGGATTGAAATTATCTTTGATTTTGTTTGTAATCAGTTAGGCGCTTTTGATTCTTCGCCCGGTTTTTACGATAAATTAAAGGGATAATATGTATCTTAATTGCAACGATTCAGAAACCCGAACCTCGTAAAATTAATTTGGGTTTAATAAAAGGAAAAAAGGACGAACGAAAATATCGCGTCGAAATTTTCGATGATTTGATTTAAGATCATTCCGAAAAATTCTCGGAGACTCTTCAGAAGAACTGTGCGTATATTCTAAAAATACCCTGAAATGAAATAGAGCATTAGAACTGGCGAATCGTAGAATCGTAGTTGCAATCAAAGATAAATACACTTATTTTTCTCGTGCACCCGTTTGTATAATCTTGAATTATTAAAAATAAAGTATAGCATGAATTTTACCAAAAAAACTTTTCTCCTGGGTACGCTAATGCAGCACTAATGTGTTGCAATTAACAACGTGTTTTATTTTCAAGAAGGGGACCTAACCATTATCATGGCTTGAAATTTTCACCGATTATTCTTCACACCTAAAAGAGAATATTCACGGAAGTTTTCAAGAAATTGCGTTCAGTAGATTG